GCAGAATAACTAGAGAGGATATTTGGTTTTCCAGCATTCAAAATGCCAGACAAAGTCACTGTAAGTCTTAAATACTGGTGTAAGACATGCAGGGCTGAATTTAGAGAGAAAGAATTCCATAGTGCTCAGGCAGAAAATGAACAAACCCCTTGAACCAGTACTGAGCTCAAGAGGACCAAAAGAGCTTTTCATTCTTTCCAATTGGATATCACACAAGATATTTTAGAAGGTCTAGTTTAATTTTGTGTGCAGTATGCCTCTGGTTCTTCATACTTCAGCTTGAAGTATGTTTTCATTGCTCTTTGAAAAAATAATTCTCCACAATGAGTTTTGGATGTCTGTAAAATTTGGTATTTCTGGCACAAAATGTAGCAAGGAGGAGTGTATTTTGGACTGAAAATTTATATGCAGAAAAGCAGAATGCCACCGAAGCTCAATGCTAAGAATAACAGGTGTATTTAGCAATTAAATTAAGATTTTAATAGGCTTTCATAAGATTTAAAAAAAAAAAAAGATTTGGTAACATCTCTGTGAATTCAGTCTTACTGCAACTGCGATGGAAATTCAGCTAAGAATTTCAATGTTTATCTGTTTTTAGGAGACTGAACATAAAGACAGGCTTAAGACGGATTGTTACACTATTCTTACATTATGCCAGAGTACAGCATAGATGTGCAAATGACAGCGGGGTGTGGCTGTGCCTTACATGCCACATGTAAAAATAGATATCTATTTTTTACATAGGCCTCATCAAAAAACTCTTCCAAAGTATACATTTGTACACAGATATGTAACAATTATTCAACTAATTAACATAATTTTTTTACTCTTTACTCCAAGCTAGTAGCTCCATTTTCCAATACAGAACTAGGCAATTCTGAGTTGAGAGTTAAACATTTATTTTAAAGGTATCTTCCCTCTTACTAGAAAGAAAAAAATAAATAAATTAGGCTGTGTCTTTATACAGGTATCAAAGACTACACTGGTCTTAAACAATTAGGTACCTGCAAACCACACGAGGTAATCATGGTTCAGACAGTATTTGTTTATCACTGATCCAGCTAAAATGAAAACTACAAAATAACCCTCGTTCCCTAGTTTCCTGCATAACTCTGGATGACAAAGCAGACCACAACCATTACTGCAAGAGTTCCAGCAGCACCAAGGAAGTAGTCAAAGCTTGCAATTCCAGTAAAGTTCTCCTATGTTATAACAAACATGAAGATACCATTTCCTCTGCAATTATCCGCATAATAAAAACATGTAGACATCTACTTAATTCACTAAAACACTTCTGTATTCCTAAGCATTTAAACTATTAATATTCTTCCTGTAAAAGAAAAATCTTAGTGAAAAGTTATTTTTATTTAGGAAAGGGATAGAGACAAAGGATCTCCTTAACAGGACTTTTGTCTGGGTTTTTCTGCACATTTACTGTGCTATACAAATCTAAACACAAAAAATACCCTCTCTAGTCAAAGCCAAAGATTTGCCCTTTGAAATATTAAAAGAAAAGAAAATGCAGATGAAATATTTGTAGTTTAATTCAATGGGTGACCTTTTAGATCTTGTTCCAGATCTGAAAGTAGTTCTTTGATACCTGTTAACATACATGCCATATTACACTGCTGTGGCTATATCCATTTACAGACAAGCAACTCGCCTGGCTGCTCTCAGGTGCTCTTGTCCGCTACGTTACCTGAACAGTGATTAAATTAAATCAGAGCTATGCAGAGGGGGAAGGGCTCAAGTTCCTTTTATTCCCCTTTTTGAGATTGTAACTGAATTTCTAGTATTTTAAGAGTTAATTTAAAACTTTAAGTATTTTGCTAATACTTGCATTTTTTTCCTACCTCCAGGATTGTCTTTAAGTTTTAGTATTCATGAACCCCATTCAACTTCAGCTTCCAACAGAAATCATGTCATCCAGGACTAACTGCACATGTTAATTCTGTAAACACATACACTACCAAAAAACAGTCTGTATCTTACCCTAAAATATATTATACTCATGCATCTCTATTTTAATTTTGCATTAATGTGTCCCAAGCTTAACCAGTGACACACCTGAAGAGGCAGGTTCACATCTCATAAAACTGAAGCATTATATTGAAGTGCTGAGAACCAGCTCTTTACCAGATGATCTCAGGTGCTACGTTAATTGCCAATAAATGTTTTCTGGAGAAGAAAAGCATAATACTGATAATGAAAAGGAAGCTGAGCAATAAAATTATCGAGTTACTTTCATCTTCAATATTGTTTTTTTCACAGGGAGACTTTACACATTTCTGTATTGTAAAAAGGAAAGAAGAGGAAGAAAAAAAAGACATGAGTGACCATCTCACCACTATGTCAATGGCAGACTCAGGAAGAAAAAAACTTTGTTATTTCCAACTTCCAGATTCATGCTTAAATACCAAGACACAACTACAGAATAATTGCCTTCCTCTCAGAAATATTCTAGGAGCAAAGGAATTTCTACCTGGAAGAATATCAGACCTTCAGGGTCAAAACCCCAAATCCAGTATTATCTTGCAGACTCTCAGGGTCAATACCGAGCATTTCTGAGAGCCTGGTTTCTTGCCTGTTATTCACAAATGATCATTACCAATTACAATACCTACCAAAACAAAAATAAATTAATGTATGATGTTTTCTGAGGAACTGAAACTGTAAAAATATGTTTTCCAAGTATATTTTTAAAAGCTACTTACATGTAGACTGCTAAATAGTATCCCATTAACACGAAGCATGACGCTGTGTTCACTTAAAGACACAGACCGGTTTGATAACTTTCACAATTCATATATATTAATCCTTAAGCTTAAAAATTTCAATCTACTGCAAAAGTAAAAACCACTTCCTGTTTTCCTATCGAATACACTCTTCAAAACTTAGGATGCACATATGAAACTTACAACTATGGATTTCTATACTAAGCACTTAATACAAGGCTCAAATAAACAAACTACAAATTCCCATTAAGCCTCATGACCTGCAAGAGAATTTCAGGAAGACTTCCACTAGAAGAATTCTCTAGAAATTTTGTAAATTTTTCTTCTGGTAAGTACATATTGCAAAAACTCAGAAACAGGATTCTCCCCTGAAGTGCAACAGCATGAGATCTCAACCATTCCCTGAGCACAGTCTCATCTAATTGAGAACTTCACTAACAAAATCCCAGCTCTTTATCTATTTCATCTCTCCTACATCATCTTACTGAAATGATTATTCATTAAAACCATGGAAGACAGTGTTTGGATATTTATAATGAGGGCAGCAGAGTCTGTTTACAGCTGTCTGTAAACATATATTCATAATAATTTTGCTCAGAAGCACAAAGCTGAAGTGTTTTTGTCAGCACTAGTCTCCCTCCGTCAGCACAAGACTGGGACACTTCCAACACTTACACTGGCCACAAATTCGAGCTACTTTTTTGCAGCAGAATTTACTTTTCACTTCACATTAAGCCCTTGAGGTACGGAATCTGCAAACTACAGGTATGTTACAGGGCCAGTTTCCTATTTTCTGAATTAGCCTGTGGACACTGAGGAAACACTGAAGCCATCTATGCCTTCATGCCTACTGGTATGCCCTAAGATTGAGAAAAATCTCAAGTCTGGCTAATATATCATCTAATAATAACTCTGACAGTGCTACTATAAAGTGAGAGGCTCCCAAAAGCAAACCAGAAATAAACGCATTTGAATAAGAAGGGGCAGGCAAATCAAAACAAAACCTGTTAGCTGCATGTATTTCTTATTATTGATTTCCAGCTTTCCAGAAATTCTCTTTAGATTTCAGATAAAAGCAAAAATAACACCACAAATCCTGAAGACAAAAATGAAATTCCAGATGCTTTTTTGAGCCAGCTACTGACAACAGGTCTCAGCTGATTCACCCCCAGCCCACACTAGATTTCAGTCTCTGCAGAATAGAAAGGGTTCTTAATTCTCATTAAAAACTACCATATAAAAAAAGAAATGAAAGGAACTGTAGGGGGAAAAAAGGTTATATGAAACACCCCATCCACAAAGAACATCGAAGTAGAATGATAATTTTTCAGGCCATTTTAACATCTTAATCTTTGAATTAGCAATCTCCTACTGATTGAAAACCAGCAATTCCTAAATGCTCTAGGCAATACTGTAATTATGAAACACTATTAGAGCATTCCATGTGGAGTGAGAGGAGAAAACTTTCAGTAGATTTAGTTCACCAAAAGCTGATAATTATAAGTGTCCAGAATACTAGGAGCCTAATGCTCTTTTTAATATCAGAAGTCACGACAAGTTAAAATATTCTTCGTATTTCAAAGACACCAACAAAATCAAATGAAAGCTACAGAGCACATAAAACCTCTTCAAACTGTATGCACAGACTATGCCATTTTGTTGTCTGGTGTATGGGAGAGAGAAGAGAAAATGTGGGAAAACACAAACCAGCAAAAGCTCTTTTCTGCCCTAGTCGTAGTGCCAGATGAAAAAGCCAGTAACTCCAGAGCATTTGCATGATAATAAAAAAGGCAAAAGACACTAAAAAAACCCAAACAAAACTGAAAAGCCCAACAACTTAAGTGCTAAGGCCGTTAATAAAACGAGATTTTTACAGTTCACTCATTCAAAATTAATGCTTCCTGTAGATAGTTAAAACTAATTTAAATAAGATATACTTAACATTAGCACCTTTGCCAAGTAAGAGATTCCCAGCATCACAATCCCTTCACCTTCCCAGAAATTCTCTAGTGCATTTAAAGAGCATCAAGGGGCAGAGAGGAAGCACATTTTTTTTTTCAGGGGCTAAATTCAAAGAAGGCTTTTAGAGGACACTGTGTCCTGTGATTAACTTCTCTTACATACATACTTGTCACTTCTTGTAAGAAATCCAGACAGGGTCGGCTACTTCCAGAAATACTTATTGAAACAGCCAGCAGGGGCTAAATTCAAAGAAGGCTTTTAGAGGACACTGTGTCCTGTGATTAACTTCTCTTACATACATACTTGTCACTTCTTGTAAGAAATCCAGACAGGGTCGGCTACTTCCAGAAATACTTATTGAAACAGCCAGTGGGGTCTGTCCTTCATAGTTCCTTGTGTTAGTGTCTGCTCCGTAATTATACAACATTTGTGCACAAAGCACATCATCTCTAAGAGCAGACAAGTGTAAGGGTGTCTGTCCATCTTCTAAGCGACCCAAGTTTGTATCCGCCCCTCTCTGGAGGAACATTCGGCAGTAAGAGTGATTGCTTTTGATCACAGCGTAGCGTAACAGGAAACCGTTCTGAATGTCGATGTTGGCATTGTGATCCAGCAGGATTTTCACACAGCTTGACCTCTCCCGGATAATGGCCAGCTGAAGGGGTGTAGTACCTTTATCACTGAGCGGATCAACCTCAGCCTTGAACTCCAACAGGAGCCTGACAAATGAGTCTCTGCCATAGTGGGCTGCTACATGGAGGGGAGTCCAACCATCGTTGCTCTTGGCATTAATAATGTCACTCCTATATTCAGATTCCAACATCAAGCGTGCAATCCTCGCTCGGCCATGCATGGCTGCATAATGCAGAGCAGTGAAGCCTCCAATTAAGTCCTTAACTGTGGGATCAGCTGAAGTTAAAATAAAATTAAAAAATAATTAGAAGGCATTACAGTAATCCAGTGCTGAAAAAAAAATAATAATGGAAAGGCTGAATGTTAAGTCTTTTCAGGCATAGCAGACAGGATTTTTTTGTACTTCAAACTAATCCTTGCTTTCATGAACATGCTATTTTTAAGAAAAAGTTAAGTTACATTTAAGAAAGAGTTACACAAAAAGAGACTTTTTCTTTCATATACATATGTTTCCATTTGACAAATAGTTTTCCACATCTTCCTAGCACTCTTAGGCCAATTACTCAAATCTCTCTGTCCATCCAGTTTTCCTCCAGCTCTACAATATTACATTTCTTTCTCAGTGTTCTTTTTTTTTTTTATTATTTTCCCTTGTGTTGTGCTTCTTAGTCTTAAAAAGAAGCATGTGTAGAAACATCTGCTGTCCCAAACTGCGGATGTTTTGTGGTCTGGCAGCATTGTATTGTTTTTAGGGTGTAATACTGTACTAGGTAAAATGTTTCTCTGTGGTCTGCAGGATTTCCAAAGCATGTAGGATATATGTTGTTTCAGATTATCTTTATAAAAAGTCTGTTTTTATAGATGATGAATCTGTTCTGAGTTTATAGTTTTACAAAAATTTAAGGTTTTACAAGAATGTAAGCATCCACTTATGGAAGGAGTCAGGAGAAATCTCAGTGCAGAACACAAATGATTACACAGATATTTTTTAAATTCCCCCCCCCCCTCAACATATAACAAAAACTCAGTCTGATTTATGGATTTAAAAATTAAAATAATACATTCATTTTACTTAATTTCCTCAGAACACCCAAACTTGCAAAGCAATTATCTTTTCTCATGTACCAAGGAGTTACCACAGGAAAGGTGCCTGCTTTGGTACCATGTCTCAGCTAGAGAAGGAGCCTGGCTATGAGGTTTCTCCTTCCACCATCCATAGATGTTGCCTGTTGGATGCTAAAAGGTACAAACTACAGTTTGAAAGTTTGAGGCACTTTCCTAGGTCTCTCAGCTGGTAAAGAGATACTCTGCACAAGGCTATCCACACTTTGTCATCTCCTTATCTATACAGACTGCTTTTAGAAGTAGCAGTGGCCTAGAGAGGGGGTTAAAAAACGTAACCACGCAGGTTTAAAACAAACTTGGCTGAACGTTAGGAACAGCCAAAGCTCACACACACTGCTTGAGAGGAGCACTTGCTCTCGTGCACCACATTTTCTGCTCAGTTGCCATCACACTCAAACAGGAAAGGGGAAGAGTTATCAATTTGCATCTCAAAATTCAGACCTGCTGTAAGTTCACAATACAATACAATACAAACTGCAAGCTAGTTTAGTCTTTTGGGAAAGCCCCACATAAAGCTAAATAAACATTTGAACACAAATATGCTAACACAAAACAACAGGAATAAGCTTCCCAAAGATCAACCTGCTGTAACCATATCTAGATAACACATCAAGACAGACATCCCAGTAAAATAAAAGGACTGGAAAAAGGGAGTACAGAACACTGCTGCAAAGGGGATCCAGCAACTTTGAGGTTTTTAAATGTACAGTGAAGACTGGGGGAAGGAAAACCAATGGACAAAAAAGTTCAAAAAAACAATTCAGCCTCATTACACAGAGACCTAAAACGTGAGAACTGTCTCTAGCACATAGAATTGGCACCTAGAAAAAATGAGAGAAAGATTAAAGACAGTTTAGTCCCTTCATAGTGACAGCCCTCCTAGTCTTCTATGAAAAGCAGAAGTTTCAGTGCTTTGTAAAGTCACACTGACCTGAGTTCAAGTAATTTACGAAGCATCCACAGTTTGGCAGGAAACTGAAGCCAGTGACAGAATTGGTGGTTCCTAACCTGAACTATCATGGTGTCCAAAACACAGCAAAGAATCAGCACAACCCACAAAGTCTTTCAAAGTGATGTTTCCTGCTCCCAGGGTCTCCTTTTCTGCACTGCTCAACCTATTCTACATTATCTCCTGACTGGTGACAAACAAAGCAAGTAGCATAGGCACGAGAATTAAGATGCAGAGGGATGAGACACTTTGAGATGTAGGAACAGTGAGAAAGAGGGACATAATGGAAAGGAAGCAGCAGCAGCCAGGGCCATTTTCCACAAAAAAGCCCCAAACAAACAACTCCCCTCCCCCCCCCGAAAAAGGAGTAAAATCATATTGTATCTTCCTTCTTTCATGCTGCATAGGGCATGTAAGTCCATCCTTTCCACCCCCAGCCGAGGCTCAGGATACTGCTGCTACCCTGTTTAGTCTGTGCTATTTCCAAATTCAATCAGATATGCTCCAACGTTTGTGTGCATGTATATGCACTTTCACAAAAGCTGTTGTAACCCAAACCCAACAATTTACTTACAACATAAGGATGCCCTTGACATGTGGCTTTAAATATCTTTCCATGCCTTCCCTCCTCCCAAAATTTAATTGCTCCTGACCACTAAAGTGAACCAAAGAAGTACTAAGTCATGTAAGAGAAGTGTCTCAACAGGAATAGGAAAAAAAAGCCTCACAGCTGGGCAACAAAGCAACAAAAACAACTAACCTTCCAAAAGTAAACCCGGTAGCAAAACTTCATTACAAAAATAATAATTCCCGTTAAGATTACGGGCTTCTAGTGACCTAATAGTACCAGTCTTCCCCTTGATGAGGGAAACAATTTTAACAAGACCAAAACACTGTCTCCCCGGTACTCGGTCAATGTTTTGCTGCCATCTCCTGGAAAACTTTTGAAACTTCACAAGGGCTTTTAGCAGACGCTGGGCCCGCGTTACGGTGCGTACAATTTCCAGCCGTTCAGTCCCTACGTTAGTGAAAGTAATGCTATAAAACTGATGTTGCCTTAAGAACTCGGGTTGTTGTGGAGTTTCCTATTTGTTTCTTAAAAGACTTCATATTGGTAAAATGCTGGAAAGCAACTTTGTCCCCATAAAATACAAGCAAGCTAGAAAATAGTCAGGCATGATTCTCAGCTTACCTTTCAGAATCTGCAGAGGGGTAAAAAAAAAAGTACCTGGTACAAGCTCATTTAATTAGGAAGGGATGAAAAGTTGAGCTGCTTCTCAAGGATACCAAATTACTGCTGCCAAACTCACTTGAGACAGAAATCTTGCAGCACCAAATGACATTCAGATTGTTGCACTTCATGCTAAAGCTCAGCACCTAAGCTAGCCATTTAAACTCTACTAATGAAACTCTTTTCTAATGCTGTAATCTAGAGGATATTTCTCAACAAGAGTTGAATGGTTAAGGTTGGAAATGACCTTATTGATCATCAGGTTCCAACCTCCCTGCCATGAGCAGAGACACCTCCTGCTAGGCTGCTGCACAAGCCTCACCCAGCCTGGCCTTGAACACCTCCACAACCTCCCTGGGCAACCTGTTCCAGTGCCTTCCTGCCCTCATGGTGAAGAATTTCTTCCTGATGTCTAAAATAAATCCACCTTTCCTCACTTTAAAACCATCATCCCTTGTCCTGTCACTGCACTCTCTGGTGAGAAGTCCCTCCCCTCCAGGCAGGGGAAGGCTGCTCTAAGGTCTCCCCAGAGCCTTCTCCAGGCTGAACAGCCCCAACTCTCAGCCTGTCTCCACAGCAGAGCTGCTCCAGCCCTCTGATCACCTTCGTGGCCCTTTTCTGGACCCTCTCCAACAGCTCCATGTCTCTCCTGTGCTGAGGGCCCCAGAGCTGGACACATCACTCCAGGTGGGGTCTCACAGGAGCAGAGCAGAGGGGCAGGATCCTCCCCAGCCCCACTGGCCTCACTTCCTCAGCCCAGGACACGATTGTCCCTCTGGGCCCCAGCACTGATGGCTCGTGTAGAGCTTCTCATCTACTTTCACCTTCATTAGGTCATTCTATCACAGTCTGATTTGAGAAGCCCAGAAAGCAATGATTCTGGCTTCATAAAGAACTTTTTATTTCAAGCTTATTTCCCCTAACAAGGGCTTATTTCTGACCACAAGGTTTAGAACCGTGGCTACACAATAGCTTCTGTTTTAATACCAAAGACCTCCAGGAAAGCATACTCAAGACTAGCTCATTTTAATGTTAACAGTGGTGGTTGGGGATTAATAAAATACAGTTCCTGTCCAGCATTGGAATGCATGTCTCAGTATGTCACTTTGAAAATTAAAAAAAAAAAGAATACACTCAAGGGGAAAAAAGGCTCGTCATGCAAAAATACAGGATTACTGAAAACTACACTCCCTATTTTTGTATTGCTTTCCTGTTGAGCTTTGTGAAGCTAGATTGTTTCTAAGGATGAAAAGTATTGGCTTCATAGAATCTTCACTTTATAAAATGAGACAAATACACCAAGAAAGTCACAATCACTATTTTTCATGAAAACTAAGTTCTGCCACAGTTCTGATCAACATTCTGCTTTTCATCGTTTGCTAAAGAATATTTATTATCTGACCTATTACCTCTGTATATAAGCTCCTATTTCTGCTGGTGTCATCCTTTAGTCTGGACTGGTTTCTAATGCATTTTTCCCATTTATCTTTGTCTCCTTGCTCAGTAGATAGTAAAAAGCTTCCTCCTGTTCCACCACCTCCACTGAACTCATCCAATCTGCAGGCAAAGCATCGTTGCCTGGCTCTTTTCTTCACTGGTGAGCGATGATGAAAGAGAATTAAAAAAGCAAAAGCAAGAGGCAGCTAGGTCATGACTCCCATAAGAAGCTATCTTTTATTTCCAGGTCAGTGACCAGATTCCTTCTCAGCCTTTATTAGCTAAACTCCATCTCCATCCTGCTACCATCCAAGACTACACCAGTAGTATTTCAGCACCTCAGATGTGATGCACAGCACTCTACTCTCAGCAACAGCCCAGTACAGTTTTCTCATTCCTGTACCATAAAAATGCTTCCAATTCTGTTAGATTCATCATCTCTAGGCAGCCACAATCATCACTAGTTGCCCCTTTCTTCCCACTAACACCTCTGCTCCCTCTTTCCTACAGAACTCAATCCATGCCCTCTCACCATCTTCTTTATTGCTAATATATAGTCAGTTTGATATTCCGTCTACCCTAAGATTCACACCAGAAAATGACATTTTTCTTCACCCTAATATAATTTTGCTCCACAAGGATTAAGCACAATAATCCACTGCTTGAGAGGGAGAAAGGTGGAGACTGTGAAGAAAGGTAGAAACAAACCTCTCACTAATGAGGCAGCGTGATTAACTCAGCTTTTAAGAGTCAGCTCATTCACTGCTTAATAGCTCATTTGTGACATTATTATGTTTAAAATACTCATTATCTTTTATGCCTCTGTTTTGAGGGAAAACAAGGCAAGGCACAGAGCAGTGCCAATTTTCTGAAGCGAGGCTCAGCTACAGGAAAGCTGCTGTGGATGACTAACCCTCACACTGTTTGTTACTCAACTTTCTAGTCCTGGTGATTAAATGTTATCCTGCTTCCAGAACAAGGATGTTTCATTACAGACAGTTTTCACAAGGCATCAGATTCAGCTGGTACTTTGTATAGGGAAAAGTAACAATAAAAGTAAAAACAAAACACCCTATCAGCAGCTATTTAACATAAAAACCTATACAATGAAAACACATAGGAATACATAAGGGTGTGGGGTTTTTTTCAGATCATCTTCAAGCTCACAGAGTTACAAACAAGATATTTCAAGACTTAGAACCTAAAAATTTGAATTATCAAACTGAAGTCTTGAAGATTATCTTCCTATATTATATTTGAAAACTAACATTTACAGTTATTTATTAGTGTAATTTAATAGCTTTCCCCCCTCTTCCAATAAGGACATTTGCCAGAATTATATAGTTAGAATCTGTAGTAGGTGTATCAATGGGGCCCAGTTGTTCAGGCTTTATTTCACTACTGCTCTTAAGAAACAGGCCCCTAACTGTGCGAATAACACAGCCTATTAATGCCATTCCAGTTTAAGGGTGACCCATACAGCTGACAAATACCACGATGCAATAAGGGGCCCACATGGCCTCATAGGTAAAGCATCATAAAGCTACTTTCAGCTTCCTTAGGACTGAAAACATCTTAGTTCATAATTCATTTGATAAGAGCAGTGCTAGAAAGAAGATGCTGTTCTTTAAGAGCATTAATCAGAATGTGGAGAACACCTACTGATTTTTATTTTTCCTCTCTAGCATAACATCAAAAGATTAAAACTATCCATTTCTAAAAATTCAGATGACCTTGAGAAAAGATACAGCAAAAAGAAATTCTGACTTTACCACCTGAGGGGCAATAATCACTACCCAAGCAGGTATATAACCTAAACCAACAAAACTCAATTGGCTCTTGAAATAAAGCTTCACTATGGCTGGCTGCAGCAGAGGTGTAAACTCAACTGGACAAGGTGACAAAGTCCCTGCACATAATAGTATTGTTTTCATAAAGTTTAGCAGACTGTGTTAAAGCCCATACAGAAATTTAACCTTTAATGCAACTTGTTAACTTGCTTGAGAGTATTGAAACAAACTTCCCTAGGGTTTCAATTCAAGGACCTGCCCTCCTCTAACAAAGGAAAAAAGCCTATAGAGTGCTGTGAGTGCATTTAATTTTATAATCAGCCCTTCTGCCCTATTTTATAAGGCTTATTCACTCTTTTAACAATTCCCAGGCAATTCTAGGAAAAAAAAAAAGAGTAAGGTATTAAGATATAAAGCTAATCTATTACTGCATTCACAGAATATACATCAGAAGGAAACAGAGATGAAGCATCACCCCAAAGAAAAAATAAATCAATCAGAAGTAGTCTGATGACTAAGCAGTGCTGGAAACTGGGATAGTGAGATGGGTATCAAGATCCCTCTCTCTAGGCAACTCACCAGCGTTGGCAATTGGGATAGAAAGCTGTGAGATGCGTATCAAGATCCTTCTCTCTGGGAAACTCACCTCCATGTTCAAGAAAAACACGGACACATCTCTCTTTCCCTCTTGCTGCAGAGAAATGAAGCAAGGTCCAGCCATTGGCATCTCGACCATTTGGAGAGTATCCCTGCTCCAGCATCTTGCGCACGGTGTGAACATCGCCAGCAGCAACTGCAGCCTGGATCTGCAACTCTTCCTGTAGCTCAGGGTTCCTCCGACAGTGATGGTGTAACATCCTAGCTGAGTCTGGCTCTTACAGGAGCGTCATGAGGTTACACTGGTCACCTTGAATCAATATTATGCATGAATAAATTAGGATTGGGACCAGGAAAGAGATAGCCAGGGAAAAAGTCAGTACTAATTAAAAGCAATGTGAAGATTTACTGTCTATGTGCAGAGTGAAGTCATCTTACACACAGGATGAAAACACCAGTCTCACAGTTGCTAGCAAAATCATAGTACATGGTTCACATCACTGAGCTGCAAAGGAAAGGGACACTTACACATTATAAATAGGGAAATTTTCCTTCAGAAATGAGAGCTTCAACCAAGTCCACAATTAAAGCACCTGAGCAATAAGCAAAATGAAAAAATCTCCAGAACACAATCTTCATTTAAAAATTGCAACATGGTTAATATCACCAACTCCAGAGACACTGGTTATATCACCATCTACACTGTTGCATGAAGCAGCACTGCCTTACTGGAGCAACTGAACCATGTTTTTCTTTTTTTTCTAGAAATGTATCACCTTAAAGCTTCAGTGAAAATGTTTTCATCTTACTAATATAATTTTTTCCTGTGACCTACTGCATGTGAATGTTAGTAACACTGAGGTTGAAATTGAAAACTCTTTTCTCTTATTCTCCCTTCCCTTTTTTGGGGGGGAAAGGAAGCAGTATACTTTGTGCTCTGTTTGAAAAGTAGTAATTTGCATTTCTACTTGCTATCCAGCTGGGAACAAGAAAAAAAATACAGGTAACTAGGGATTCTTCTTCCGCTGGACATGAAGTCTTAGGTGTTTACATTTTTACATATATTGTGATCCATATCCCATGAACAGTTATTTGTAAGACAGAAAGGAATCTCAGTATAAAGAGACTACAAGCTGGTTATTAGAGCAATAGGACTATCAGAAAATAGTCAAGAACTGTTGCAATGGGTATTAACACAAAACCAGAAGATAAAAAGAGAGAAACAGGAGTGCATTTATATTCCTATCGAGTTAATAAAGATTAAAGTACAGGGAAAAGTTCTAAAGATGAAAATACATTTTAAGCAAAACTTAAAATTTATAGCAACCTTGTTTTATTAGGATGTCAACCCCCATCATCACCTAAACTTTCTCTTGAGTAAATACCATAAGGATTTCCAGATCCTCATGATTCATAGGTCATTCAAAAGACACTGCAATCAACTCCCCACATCCCACTGGGCACTTGTTTACCTGTGATCCAGATATACACATACAGAAGAAGAGTGAAAACATCAATCATTGCCATCTTTCCAGATAAAAGCAAATGACCTACTCACTCTTCTATAACCTGGTTATGCCCATTGCAAGTAATTTATTTATCTGCTTCTTGGAGGGAGATAAACCAGGTAGCTACAACAACCCTACTTACATTGCAAATATGGAAATTACATACAGCAAATGCCTGTCTTGGATATTTATAAATGCTTCAACTTAGGTTGTGTGGCAACAACCACTACTTCAGCACCATGTTACGAAACAAGACTTTTTAGCTCAGCAAATTACACATGGCTTAGGTACTGGCTTTGTTTTGTTCTATCATATGAACTCCATTATCTGACACTGGAAGAGAAGGGGATTTACAAACCAGCAACTGCCAACTCAATAGTTCAGCCTTTGCAGCGTGTTCCAAAATCAAACTTGGTTAACCTGATGACAATGGCAGTACTTCTATTGACTCTAATAAGCTTTTGCTAAGCTCTTTTTTGAACTCCTGTTGGCACTTCAGAACATCCTCACCTTTAAGACAGTGAGCTTGACTTCATGCTGGATCACAGCACTAACAGCACTGTTAATGAAATTCCAACTACAATATCTTTCTTTGCATTCACAGGTCAAAACTGATAGTAGAACTTGACTGATAAGTATGAGCCAGGTGAGATCCTTCAAAATCAAAAAATAAACCAGAGCATAGCTCTTTGGTCTTACTTTCTGAATGTGTACAAAAACAATATATGAAAAATTTTCTCAACCTAAGAATACCTGACCTAAAATTGATGCAAACTTCCTACTGATGTGTTTGCAGTCCCTTCTTGTGGACTCCCCTATGCTGATGCAAACTTTCTACTGACTTGTGCAGTCCCTCCTAAAGGACTAATACTTGTAAGATCTCATATGATCCTGAAAATTAAGATCTGACTAGTTGTTCCAAATGCTACAGAAAGGATGACAAAAGAGATGAAAAGCAATGGGATTTCTTACTTAAGGGGACAACAGTATCCCCCCTGTAAACATCTATGAACATAGCTGGTTAAGAAAAAGCAAAGCTCTTTCTATTACACTTCTGAGCTGGTGGGTATATTTGTAATGCAGCATTATCAAACATTGGCACTGGCCCCATATGTTGCATGTGACCAGCAGAACTTATTCAAATTAGCTAGTACTAAAGTACCTAAGTACTAAAACATACAAAGCAGAAAACAAAGTCAGGCATAAGCAGCTCCTTTTATCACTTGTGCAGTTTCTGTAAAAATGTACTCTTCTCTCTCACCCCTATGGCAAGCAATGAAATTCAAATTACCAAAATATTTCACTGTAACATTAAAAGTTTCAGGACAGTTCTAGGTACCCACCAGCTTTGAAAACATTTTTCACTTCTGCTCTATAGGTAATTTAAAAATCCTGTTTGCAAATCCTCATGTAAACCACCAGTCTTTGGAGAAGGAAGGCAAGACTACTGGAAGTCACTAGCCATTTGGCACTTAATATTTAATGTTTTGCAGCTGTACTCAATCTCATTTAGGACCCAGTATTGCTATATATTGGCTTTTTCCATGCAAGCAAAAAAAAAAAAAAAAAAAAAGACATGAAGTAGAGGGGGGAAAAATGTGCTGATAGATTTTTGGGTGTAATGCCATGAAAACAGAGGACAGCAACAACTAATGAATTGATTTGGCAAGTACAATGGGATAATTCCAATGTGTTTATGAATTACCTTCTAAGAGGCTGTCACTCTTTGATGGATGTCCCACTCTTCATTGTCTTCACTATTCATAATCTCATGTGCCCGTGTGAGTCAGAACCTGCCACGCCCTAAAAAAAATTAATTGTATTAGTGGCAAAGAGCAAAAGTGAGAGTTTGACTTACTTTTACTTTGTACCTGTGCTAGAATGCTACATTTTAATGCAGTTATGCCAGAAAAGGCCCTGAAGTGTGTTTTCTTTCATTATCAGACAGTCCTTCAGAGTTTGGGTGGGGAGTTTGCTTCTGCCAGATGAGGAAAAGGCTACAAAGAATATTTTATGAAAGACAAGAGAAATGAGAGATGTGCTTCCTCTTTGGAGTAAACCTTGAAGAAACGGTCCAAACTTTTCCCTAAGGATTACGTGTACCTGCTCCTGCCATGGAACAAGAATAGATGCAAAGGTTACAGGAGATATTTCTGCCTTACTGCTCAACATCTCCCTGTGGCAGTCAGATGCCAGGAAAAACCTTCAGGATTCATTTAGTTCTTCCCAACCTATTTCTATAGCTTTGTTTGGGGAGGGAGGGTTGTTGGGGGTTTTTTTTGTTTTGTTTTTTTTATCTCCATCCCATCTATGCTTCCCTATCTAAAGAATAAAACCTGACAACACAGAGCACTGACTTCTTTGCCCTTCAACTGGACTTGTAGCACCACCAGGTAGTTGTCTCCCTCCCATGACAGAACAGGCTACCATATGTAGCCTTTCGCAAAGAGCTAAAGATACCCTCACACTACAAGCAATACCACCACCTCAAAAATCTTCACCCTTCATAACTATCCCTTCATTATCCAGGTTTACTGAATGTCAATTACAATCCCCATCCAGTTTCCTCCTTCATACTAGCTCTCCTCAACCTCCTTCCTTGTCACCTGCAGTTAACAGGACCAGTCCCAATGTTTGACCATTTCTCCCAGTACTGTTGAGAGCTCATGCTCATCAACATCACTTCATTCATTCTTTGTACACCTGCCTGACCTTTCCTTCACTCTGGCTGCAAGCTTCTCGTGCCAGGACCCCTTATCATGTGTGAGCACTGCAATAATATAATAAATAACAAAAGCATTAATTACTTCACCATACAGCAGATCACACAAAACCAACTGTGACTTGTTTCTTGTGCAAATGAGTTGCACCAGAACAATTACATGAGCTGTGCAGCTTTTAGCTTAAGTTAAAATTTCTGTCATTTAACACAACATAAAATCTTTCTTTCCCAAGGATAGCTGAGAAGAGGAGGATGAAAAAAACCCCCTCTCTTCATCCCTCTTCTGCACATTTTCCAAGAGCTTTGCTTCCCAAGATAAAACATACAGGGTTTGCAGATATGCTCAGAGCCCTGCACAAAACTGCAGTGCCATGACCTAATTTGATCACATTTCTAGCCTTGTTTTCTTTGCATAGATGATCAAGTCGTTTGTTCACCTTTTTTAAAAAAAAAAAATTTTGCATGATTTTCACTTTAAAACCCACACATTTTTTATTAGCTGATGCAAATTAGAATTGCACTGACTTCACAGACTACCGACAAGGTAACAGATTGCTCCACTAAAAAAGTAACAAGCTTTTTCTCCCCCCAAAGGAAAATTAGCTGCATATGGCAAGAGTAAGATCTGCAACTTTAATAAAAAGAAATCATATTTAGTGAAAGTAAAGCTCACTTACTCAATGACTTAACCAAGTTTGCTGAAAATACTAATAATTGTAGTAGAAGTAGCACACTAAATAAAAAGACAAAACATCTTCATTATCAATTGATAAAGTCTCATATTGTCAAAGTGATCTTAGGCTTTTCTACATTAATGTGTCATTTCATTAAAGTCATTGCAAACATCATGGGGAAAATTAATTCTGACATATGTAGATACTTACTTTAAAGAAAGTTCAAAGTTGGTATGAGAAGCAATACATTATAAAACAGTACTCTGCTCATTCAGATGAGCTAACAGATAGACCTGATCCCTGAGCCCCAAGATTACACATGCAAGAGCTGAATAAGGACCATAATTTACTGCTGT